TATGCCTGGCTAATTTTTTTTTGTATTTTTAGTAGATACGGGGTTTCACCATGTTGGCTAGGCTGTTCTGGAACTCCTGACCTCAAGTGATCCACCCCCCTCGGTCTCCCAAAGTGCTGGGATTACAGGCATGAGCCACCGTGCCCAGCCAAAAGAATTTTTTTTTTCTTTTTTTTTTTTGAGACGGAGTCTCTCTCTGTTGCCCCGGCTGGTGTGCAGTGGCACAATCTCTCGGCTCACTGCAACCTCTGTCTCCTGGGTCTAAGTGATTCTCCTGCCTCACCCTCCTGAGTAGCTGGGATTACTGACGTATGCCACCTTTGTTTTTGAAAGATATTTTTTCCGTATACAGAATTCTAGATTTATAGGTTTTTTCTTCTCTGATGTCTAATTTGCCATTAATCTCATGCAGTGCAGTTTTTTTTCATCTCAGACATTGCAGTTTTTGTAGTCAGAGATGCCGCTCTGGCTTGCTTTGTTTTCAGTGAGAAACCTGTTGTTGTCCTTTGTTCCTCGCTACATGATGTTTTTTTCCCCCCCTCTGGCTGCTTTTAAGATTTTTTTCTTTGTAACTGGTTTTGAGCAATTTGATTGTGATGTGCTTTGTTGTAGTTCATTGAGTTTGGGTTTTGTTGAGTTTCTTGGACCTGTGGATTTATAGTTTTTACCAAGTTTGGAAAGTTTTTGGCTATGATTTCTTCAAATATTTTTCTGTTCCTCCATTCTATTCTCTTGCCAGTACTCTAGTTATCTGTACATTAGGCCACTTGAAATTGTCCTACAGCCCACTGATGCTCTTAATTTCTTTCTATTCTTTTTTTTTCCTGTGTATTTCATTTTGGATAGGTTCTATTGCTGTCTTCAAGTTGACTATTTTCTTCTGCATTGTCTAATTTGCCATTAATCTCATACAGTGCAGTTTTCATCTCAGACAATGTAGTTACTGTAGTTTACATCTTTAAAAGTATGATTTGGGATGGGCGCAGTGGATCATGCCTATAATCCCAGAATTTGGGAGGCTGAGGCGGGTAGATCACTTGAGGCCAGGAGTTTGAGACCAGCCTGGCCAACATGGCAAAATCCCGTCTCTAGCAAAAATACATAATAATTAGCCGGGTGCAGTGGCTCACGCCTGTAATCCTAGCTACTTGGGAGGCTGAGGTGGGAGAATTGCTTGAACCTGGGAGGTGGTTGTGCCACTGCACTCCAGCCTGGGTGACAGAGCGAGACCCTGTCTCAAAAAAAAAAAAAAAAAGGCCAGACCTGGTACCTCAGTGGCTCATACCTGTAATCCCAGCGCTTTGGGAGGCCGAGGTGGGCAGATCACTTGGGGCCAGGAGTTTGAGACCAACCTGGCCAATATGTTGAAACCTCATCTCTACTGAAAAATACAAAAATTAGCCGGGCGTGGTGGCGGGTACCTGTAATCCCAGCTACTCGGGAAGCTGAGGCAGGAGAATCCTTTGAACCTGGGAGGCGGAGGTTGCAGTGAGCCCACATTGTGTCACCGCACTCCAACCTGCGCAGTAGAGGGAGACTCTATCTCAAAAAAAAAAAAAAAAGAAGAAAGAAAAAGGAAAGAAAGCCAGGCGTGGCGGGCTCATGCCTGCAATCCCAGCAGTTTGGGAGGCCAAGGCGGGAGGATCACCCAAGGTCAGGAATTCGAGACCAGCCTGGCCAAGATGGTGAAACCCCGTCTCCAGTAAAATATATAAAAATTAGCCGGTGTGGTGGCGGGCACCTGTAATCCCAGCTACTTGGGAAGCTGAGGCAGGAGAATTGCTTGAACCTGGGAGGCGGAGGCTGTAGTGAGCTGAGATCATGCCATTGCACTCCAACCTGGACAACAGAGCGAGACTCAGTCTCAAAAAGAAAAAAAAAAAGGTACAGTTTGATCATTTTTATTTTTATTTAGTTATTTTTTTGAGACAGGGTCTCACTCTTTTGCCCAGGCTGGAGTGCGATGGCTTGATCTCGGCTCACTGCAACCTCTGCTTCCCAGGTAGATTTTATATTTTTTAATATCTTATATCTTGATATCTACTTTACTTTTTGAATGTAATACAGTTATAATTATTGTTTTAATATCCTCTTCTGCTAATTCTGACATGGGTGCAAGTTCTGGGTCAGTGTTGCTTGATTGATTTTTCTCATTATGTGTCCTATTTGCCTGCTTCTTTATATGTCTGATAAGTTTTTATTGGATGCCAGGCATGAATTTTACTTTGTTGAATGCTGGATATTTTAGATTCCCTATACATATTCTTTTTTTTTTTTTCTCTGAGACGGAGTTTTGCTCTTGCTGTCCAGGCTGGAGTGCAATGGCATGATCTCTGCTCACTGCAACCTCCACCTCCTGGGTTCAAGTGATTCTCCTGCCTTAGCGTCCTGAGTAGCTGAAATTACAGGTGCCCGCCACCACGCATGGCTAATTTTTAATATTTTAGTAGAGACGGGGTTTCACCATGTTGGTCAAGCTGGTCTCAAACTCCTGACCTCAGGTGATCCACCCATCTTGGCCTCCCAAATTGCTGGGACTACAGGCGTGAGCCACCGTGCCTGGCCCCCTATATATATTCTCAAGCTTTGTTCTGGGGTACAGTTAAGTTATTGAGAACAGCTTGATTCTTTCAGGTTTTGCTTTTAAGCAAGCAAGCTGTATTTTCTTTAGGGTTAATAGTGTCCCATTACTGAGGCAGGGCCTTTTGTATACTCTACTCAGTGCCCTGTGAATTACGAAGTTTTCCAGTCTAGCTGGTAAGAAGAGGTACCATTCCCTGCTCTGAGTGAATGTTGGATACTGTTCCTTCTCATCCTTTCTGATAGTTCTTTCTCTGGCATTGGATAGTTTACTCACATGCATGTGCTGACCAGTACCCTGCTGTATACTTAGCAGGGGGCCTCTACAGATCTCTGGAGTCCCCTCTCTATATAGCTCTCTCATCTGCAGTATTCTGTTTTGCAAACTATTGCTTCTTGGTCTCCTTGGACTCTTAGCTCCATCGCTTCAACTGGGAGAGTCTGCTGGGCTCTGCCGGGATTTCCCCTCCTTGAGCCACAGTGGGAACGCCGTCAAGGCAGTAAGTTGGAGCAGTTGTAGGCTTCTCTTCATTTGTCGCCTGTTTCTCGGATTTCACTATCCTCTGTTGCCTGGTAACTAATTTCCTGAAACTGTTGTTTTATATATATTATCTGTTTATTTGGTTGTTTCAGTAGGGAAGGTAAATCTGGTTCTTGTTATTCCATCTTGGCCAGAGCAGAATTCCCAGATAATGTTTTTGAATCTCTGAATGAATCCACAGAGCTCTATGCCCTAGTGCGAGGTAGATCTGTTGGGTAACTGTAGCTCATAATAGCCTATTGTATATTTCAAAATAGCTAGAAGAGAAGAATTTGAATGATTCTAGCATGAAGAAAAGACAAATATTTAAGGTGATGGATATCCCCAATGCATGGATCTGATCTTTACAAATTGCATGAATATATTGATTATCACATGTGCTTTGAAACTATGTACATCTATTATGCATCAGCAACAACAAAAAACTCTACAGGGATATTCTTTGAGATCTTATACAAATGTCATACCTTAGGAAGCCCCCAGACCTTCCCAACTTTGAAGTCAGTTGGTCACTGACACTCCAGTGACATGCTGTTGGCATGCAGAGCTCATCACCCAGCCAGTGGTTTCCTAACCACATGGTGAGGTTTCCTGAGGGCTGCTGGCCTCATTGGTTTCTGCTGGTTCGTCCCTGGCACAAAGTCTGGCAGCTGGTGTTGAGTTGGTAAGAGTTGGAGGGCAGGAGGCATTGCTACGGAGGTGAGTGGAGATGAGTAAATGGATGTATGAGACTGCCTGGGACTCTTCCCTTATCTGAGCATTATGCTCAAGATCCACCTTCTAGCTCCAAAGTGGGAGAAAGTTCTCTTCTTCCTCCTGCTGCTGCCGAACCCATCTCCCAGCACTCCCAAGGGTAGCAGGCAGGAGAGCAGAGTCCAGTTGTCAGAGGCTACCTCAGGAAGGAGCTGCTGTGTAGCTTGAGCAGTTCTTCAGGCATTGTGGCTCAGCATCCCTGAGGTATCATGGCAGGGGGCCTACGGCTCGTTCTGGAGTAGCAGCCAGAAGACTTTGCTCCCAGACTTGGCTTTGCTGCTTACTATCTGTGTGCCATTGGACACTGTGCTGAGCCTCTCTGTGCCTTGCCTAGTTACCTGTTCAGTGGGCTTGATAACCCTTGTCTTGCCCATCTCACAGAACGGTTATAATGTTTGCAAAGATGCTTTGCTCTAGTAGAATCTTGCATAAAACTATGATCATTTTCTTGGATACTATTAAACAAATGAAAATCTTATCAAAAAACGTAAGTGTTTATATTCTATTTTCCTAATTAGATATCTAACTGGGATGTTTTTGGTTATGATCCACATGGCAAGCAGCAAGTTTAGGGCAGAGCTGTGTGTTTGTCTATTATTTGACATTCATTATTTTGTTTGTTTGTTTGTTTTTTGAGACGGAGTCTTTCTCTGTCACCCAGACTGGAGTGCAGTGGCACAGTCTTGGCTCACTGCAACCTCCGCCTCCTAGGTTCAAGCAATCCCCTTGCCTCAGCCTCCCTAGTAGCTGGGATTACAGGTGCCTGCCACCATGCCCAGCTAATTTTTGCATTTTTAATAGAGACAGGGTTTCCCCATGTTGGCCAAGCTAGTCTTGAACTCCTGACCTCAAGTGATCCGCCTGCCTTGGGGCCTCCCAAAGTGCTAGGATTACAGGCGTGAGCCACCGTGCCTGGCCTTCTTTGACATTCATTAATCTATTAATAGTACCTGCTCGTGACCTTCTTCCTAACCTGGGAAATGGTGGGTAGCTCTCTGATAGTTTAACGAAAGGAGACCTTTTTGTCTCCAGAGGGGAAAATTTCATGTTAGAGGGGAACTATAATTCTTTGGGGTTCATTTATTTTGAAGTCAAGTATGACTCTGAATGTGCTGGCATGTTTTAGTTGCAGAGGAAAGTGGTCGCTTATGGTCAGAGGAGCAGCCTGCTCACCCTCTTCAGGTGGGGGCTGTGTACCTGGGTGAGGAGGAGCTCCTACATGACCCGATGGGCCAGGACAGGGCGGCAGAAGAGGCCAATGCGGTGCTGGGGCTGGACACTCAAGGCGATCACATGGTGATGCTGTCTGTGATTCCTGGGGAAGCTGAGGACAAAGTGAGTTCAGAGCCTAGCGGCGGCACCTGTGGCGCTGGAGGAGAGGAGGACTCAAGGTGCAACCTCCGAGAGAGCCTTTTCTCTTTGGATGGTGCTGGAGCACACTTCCCGGATAGAGAAGAGGAGTATTACACAGAGCCAGAAGTGGCGGAATCGGACGCAGCCCCGACAGAGGACTCCAATAACACTGAAAGTCTGAAATCCCCAAAGGTGAACTGTGAGGAGAGAAACATTACTGGATTAGAAAATTTCACTCTGAAAATTTTAAATATGTCACAGGTAAGGAAACATTATTTAGTGCTTTTCTCCTTTTCAGTACATTTATTTTATGATTAATACCCTATCAACTTTGAAATGGAAAGTCATGATCTTGATCATATTGTAAGCGAGATAGCATTTAATGGCTGCTTTAGTGAAAATCGACTTTGCCCTCTGTGATGTTTATAGGGAAACGAGGAGATATAACTAGTGTTGATTATGCTTTTCAGGTGGCCTAAACCTAGTTATCTTTGGGCCAGTCCTACTGCCAAACCTCACGATAAAAATCCCAGTGGACAGATCGTTGCTTGGCACCAAAATCATAGCATTTTTTTTCTTTTTGAGACAGAGTTTTGATCTTGTCACCTAGGCTGGAGTGCAATGGCATGATCTTGACTCACTGCAACTTCCGCCTCCTGAGTTCAAATGATTTTCCTGCCTCAGTCTCCCGTGTAGCTGGGATTACAAGCATGCACCACCGTGTCTGGCTAATTTTGTATTTTTAGTAGAAATGGGTTTCACCATGTTGGCCACGCTGGTCTCAAACTCCTGACCTCAGGTAATCCACCCACCTCGGCTTCCCAAAGTGTTGGAACTACAGGCATGAGCCACCATGCCCGGCCATTTTTCTTCTTCTAAATGAAGTATTTATTTATTATACAGGCAACTTAAACATACCTGGATTAGTAAAATGATAATATACCATTATTTAGTAATGCCCCTGGAAAATATGTTATATTGATGAAAAGTTTCTCTTTCATCAATGACTGACAGTTTCTGTGGGGTGGTTCCGAAAACAGAAGGGTAGGATGCATTCACGCTGCTTATGTAAGACAGGTAAATCCTGACTCTAAGAGCTGTGATTGCTTGTTGTCAATGAGGACACAGCACCTTTAGTGCATATAGCTCCTCCAAGGGCACTGCTTGGCGCTGGCTTTGCATCCACTCTTGAGTGCCTGTAGATGCTGCAGTCTGTGGGACTCTCACAGGTGTCACTCACATGACTGGGAGAGAGCAGTTTAAACAATCTGAGTTATGGATTAAACAGGTGGTGGCAGAGATGGTGTACTCTTTTTCTTTTTTTGAGACAGAGTCTCTCTCTGTTGCCCAGGCTGGAGTGCAATGGGAGGATCTGGGTTCACTATGACCTCTGCCTCCCGGGTTCAAGTGGTTCTGCTGTCTCAGCCTCCCGAGTAGCTGGGATTATGGGCACATGCCACCACACCTGGCTAATTTTTGTATTTTTAGTGGAAATGAGGTTTTACCATGTTGGCCAGGCTGGTCTCAAACTCCTGACTTCAACTGATTTGCCCACTTTGGCCTCCCAGAGTGTTGGGATTACAGATGTGAGACACTGCGGCTTGCTAGAACAGTGTGCTCTTTAATTGATCTAACCTTTGGCCAAATACATCGATATGACTGCTTAGTTCATACTTAGCTCTGCTGAGATGATAGTTTGAATCTGAGATCATAGTCCTCTAATAATTCCATTTTAGATGGTTTGAGATGCACAATTCAAAGGTGGGGGCAATTGCCCGGACCCTGTGAGTACTTAGTGCAGGCATTCCTCAAAGATACTGCAGGTTTGGTTCCACACCACTGTGATAAAGCAAATATCGAAGTGTAGCAAATCACATGAGTTTTTTGGTTTCCCAGTGCATACAGAAGTCATACTATATTGTAGTTTATTAAGTATACAGTAGCATTATGTTTAAAAAATGTATATACCTTAATTTAAAAATACTGCTAAAAAATGCTAACAATCACTTGAGCCTTCAATGAGTTGTAATCTTTTTGCTGGTAGAGGGTCTTGCGTTGATGTTGATGGCTGCTGACTGATCAGGGTGGTAGTTACTGAGGGTTGGGGTGGCTCTGGCAATTTCTTTGAGACAAGAGTATTGCTCTGTCACCCAGGCTGGAGTGCGGTGGTGAGACCATGGCTCACTGCAGCTTTGACCTCCCAGGCTCAAGTGATCCTCCCAGCTCAGCCTCCCGAGTAGCTGGGAATACAGGCATGTGCCACCATACCTGGCTAATTTTTTTCTTTTTTCTGTAGAGATGAGGTCAAACTATGTTGCATAGGCTGGTCTCAAACTCCTGGGCTCAAGTGATCCTCCTGTCTTGGCCTCTCAAAGTGTTGTAAGTTGTGAACCACAATGCCTGGTCCACAGTTTCTCTCTTTCTTTTTCTTTTTCTTTTTCTTTTTTTTTTTTTGAGATGGAGTCTCACTGTGTCACCCAGGCAGGAGTGCAGTGGCCTGATCTCAGCTCACTGCAACCTCTGTCTACCAGGTTCGAGCTATTCTCCCACTGCAACCTCTCGCCAAGTAGCTGGGATTAGAGGTGTGCACCACATACCCAGCTAATTTTTGTATTTTTAGTAGAGACAGGGTTTCACCATGTTGGCCAGGCTGGTCTCGAACTCCTGACCTCAAGTGATCTGCCCACCTTGGCCTTCCAAAGTGCTGGGATTACAGGCAGGAGCCACCACGCCTGGCCTGTGGCCCACAGTTTCTTAAGACAACATTGAAGTTTGTCACACTGATTGATTCTTCTTTCACAAAAGAATTCTCTGTAGCATGCAATACTGTTTGATAGCATTTTACCCACAGTAGAATTTCTTTCAAATTTGGAGTCAATCCTCTCAAACCCTGCGACTGCATTATCAAATAAGTTTATGGAATACTGTAAATCCTTTGTCATCATTTCAACAGTGTTCACAGCATCTTCACCAGGCATAGGTTCCATCTCAAAAAACTACTTTCTTTGTTTATCCATAAAAAGCAACTCCTCATCTCTTCAAGTTTTATCATGAGATTGTAGCAATTCAGTCCTATCTTCAGACTCCACTTCTAATCCTAGTTTTCTTGCTATTTCTATCACATCTGCAATTCCACCCTCCATTGAAGTCTTGAACTCCTCAACGTCATCCATGAGGGTTGGAGTCAGCTTATTCCAAATGCCTGTTAATGTTGATATTTTGACCACCTCCCATGAATCACAAATATTTTTAAAGTCATCTAGAATGGTAAATCATTTCCAGAAGGTTTTCAGTTTATTTTGCCCAAATCCATCAGAGGAATTGCTATCTATGGCAACTATAGCCTTATGAAATATATTTCTTAAATAATAAGAGTTAAAAGTTGAAATCCCCCCTTGATTTGTGGGCTGCAGAATGGATACTGTGTTAGCAGGCCTGAAAACAACATTCATCTCCTTGTGCATCTCCACCAGAACTCTTGGGTGACCAGATGCATTGTCAATGAGTATAATATTTTGAAAGGAATCTTTTTTTCTGAGCAGTAGGTCTCAACAGTGGGCCTAAAATACTCAGGAAACCATGCTATAAACAGATATATTGTCATCCAGGCTTTGTTGTTCCTTTTCTAGAGCACTGGCAAAGTAAATTTAGCATAATTTTTAAAGGCCCTAGGATTTTCAGAATGGGCAATGAGCAGTGAGCATTGGCCCTGCGGTTGCTCATACCTGTAATCCCAGTACTTTCAGAGGCCAAGGTGAGTGGATTGCTTAAACCTAGGAGTTCCAGACCAGCCTGGGGAATATGGTGAAACCCTGTCTCTACAAAAAGTACAAAAATTTGCCAGGCGTGGTGGTGGGCACCAGCTACTTGGGAGACTGAGGCAGGATTGCTTGAACCCAGGAGGTTGAGGCTGCCGTGAGCCATGATTATGCCACTGTACTCCAGCCTGGGTGACAGAGAAAGACCTTGTCAAATAAATAAATAAATAAGACTTATTGTCAAATAAATAAATAAGACACCAGCTGCATTGGCCTCTAAAAAGAGTCCACCTGTCCTTTGAAGCCAGGCATTGACATCTCTTGTCTAGCTATGAAAGTCTTAGAAGCCATCTTATTCCGATAGAAGGCTGTTTTATCTACATGAAAATTGGTTGTTGAGTATAGCCACCTTCATCAGTTCTCTTAGCTAGATGTTCTGGGTAAGTTGTTGCAGCTTCTCTGTTTTTTTTTTTTTCATTGGTCTTTGATGTTACTATGTTGTAGCTTCTCTTTCAGCACTTGCTGCCTCACCTTGCACTTTTATGTTCTAGAGACAGCTTCTTTCTCAAACCTCATGAGCCAACCCCAGCTAACTTCAGACTTTTCCTCTGCAGCTTCCTCACTTCTCTCAGCCTTTGTAGAATTGAAGAGAGGGCCTTGCTCTGGATTTAGGCTTTGGCTTAAATGTTCTGACTGGTTTGATCTTCTATCCATGGCATTAAGATTTTCTCCATATGAGCAATAACGCTGTTTCGCTTTCTTATCATTTGTGTATTCACTGAGTAGCACTTCTTTTTCTTTTTAAGCATCAGAGGTCACTGCACTGGATGGAGTAGCACATTAACTTCCTTTAAAAACTTTTGCTTTGCATTTACAATGTGGCTGTTTGGTGTAAGAGGCCTAGCTTTCAGCCTGTATCCTATGTTGGCATTCGGCATGGCTTCCTCACTAAGCTTAATCAATCATTTTTGGCTTTGATTTAAAATGAGAGCTGTGCAACTCTTCCTTTCACTTAAACAGAGGCCACTGCAGGGTTATTAATTCATCTAATTTCAATATTGTTATGTCTGAGGGAGAGGCCAGAGGAGAGGGAGAGAGATGTGGGACAGCTGGTCGGTGGAGCAGGCAGAACTAGACATTTATTGATAAAGTTCACTATCTTCTATGGGTACAACTTGTGGCACCCCAAAACAGTGACAACAGTAACATCAAAGATACTGATCATAGATCACCATAACAGATATAATAATAATGAAAAACTTTGAAATATTGCAAGAATTACCAAAATGTGACACAGACACAAAATTGAGCACATGCTATTGGAAAACTTACTCGATGCAGCGTTGCCACAAACCTTCAATCTGCAAAAAATGCAATGTCTGCAAAGTGCAGTGGAGTGAAATGCAGTCAAATGAGGTATGCCTGTATTTGAAATGATGAATTATGAAAAATATTAAAATAACTTGTAATATTAGGAAAGTGCAGAGGAAAGTTTAAAACTTTCTGCTTAATTCAGCAAGACTTAAAAAAAGTGATAGTTTTTGATCGTACTTTTTTGCTGATTCCTGGATTCATATGGTTCAAAATCCAAAAGGTTCCTGAGGGTCCCTCCTCTCGCTGCTCCCATCCACCTGTTCCTCTCCCTGAAGCAGCAGTGTGTCCTGTTTCTTGTGTATCCTTTCGGAAAAATGTACTTTTACTGCTGACTTTAATGCTTGTTTCTTTTACCACAGGACCTTATGGATTTTCTGAACCCAAACGGTAGTGACTGTACTCTAGTCCTGTTTTACACCCCGTGGTGCCGCTTTTCTGCCAGTTTGGCCCCTCACTTTAACTCTCTGCCCCGGGCATTTCCAGCTCTTCACTTTTTGGCACTGGATGCATCTCAGCACAGCAGGTATGTTCCGTTGGTGGGGTTTACGTCCATCCTCCTGCCTGATGGTTGCAGTTATTTGGAGGTCCTAATTAGTTAAGTTAGAAGCAGAGGAGGGGGGCATGAGCTTTGTCTTGGGATTGAAGGCAAGGCAAGAATGAATATTGAGGATTGTCATACTCCTGAGGGAGCTGTCACTCTGCGGAGGCCCTTTAAAGAAAGTGGGCTGTTCTCTGTATGGTGGATTTAAAGGTGGCAGGTGATAGCACCTGATGGCAGGGGAGGGGCCAGAAGACTTTTGAGGGCTGTAGCCAGACTGAATCAGCACAATTGCTATCACAGTGGGATATTCCTTTGTGACTTTAATGTGCAGGTTCAATCCCCATCCCAAGTGCCTAATTCCCAGCACCCCTGTTTTGTGTCTACTCAGGATTTCTTCCTTTCTTTTTCTTTTTCTTTCCTTCTTTTCCCTTTTCCTCTTTCATTCTTTCTTTCCTCCGTACTTATTCTTGCAGTCATGTTCTGTAGTAGGCACTCGATCAAGTAATGAATTAATTTAGCTCTTTAACATGACATTTACCTTTGTTTTATATTTCTTGTGTATCAATCACTGGGTTTTTGTCCAGGCTGGCCTTGAACTCCTGGGCTCAAGGGATCCTCCTGACTTAACCTCCTGAGTAGTAGGACTACAGCCAGGCGCCACCATGACAGGCTTGTCTTTTTTTTTTTTTTTTTTCCCCCCCCGAGGTGGAATCTCGCTCTGTCACCTAGGCTGGAGTGCAATGGTGTGATCTTGGCTCACTGCAAACTCCGCCTCCTGGGTTCAAGTGATTCTCCTGCCTCAGCCTCCTGAGTAGCTGGGATTACAGGCACCTGCCACCATGCCTGGCTAATTTTGTATTTTTAGTAGAGACAGGGTTTCACCATGTTGGCCAGGCTGGTCTCAAACTCCTGACCTCGTGATCTGCCTGCCTCGGCCTCCCAAAGTGCTGGGATTATAGGCGTGAGCCACTGTGCCTGGCCGAGGTCTGTCTTTTTTAAATGTTTAGTAAAGTAAGTTACAGAGAACTTTGTTGAGATGGTATGTTTCTCCTAAGTGCCGCGATTGTGCATGAGTTATAAACTGTTCTTCTCTTCCAGATCAGGTGCTTCTTAGCAGGTCAGCCTCAACAAGGAGGTTGTGTGTAAATAAATCTAGAACATCTGAAAAATGGTCAATTGGTGGTAAAATGAAGTTGAGTAAACTTCTGTTACTCTGTACTTGAGGCCAGATGCAGTGGCTCACACCTGTAATCCCATCACTTTGAGAGGCCGAGGTAGAAGGATCGTTTGAGCCCAAGAGTTTGAGACCAGCCTGGACAACATGGCAGAACCCCATCTCTACAAAAAAAAAAATACAAAAAATTGACTGAGGATGGTGGTACACACCTGTGGTACCTCAGCTACTTGGGAGGCTGAGGTGGAAGGATTGCCTGAGCCCAGGGAGGTCAAGGTCACAGTGAGCCATGATCCTGCCACTGTATTCCAGCCTGGGTGACAGAGTGAGACTGTACTCCAACCTGGGTGACAGAGTGAGACCTTGTCTCAAAAAAAAAAAAAAAAAAATTGTATTCCACTGATTTTCATTGTGGGAATATAATTGCCAATGTTTACCTGAAACTGTTTATGGAGAAAGAAATGGCTCAACAAATAAGTAATTTTCATATAGGCTTCTGGGTGATATCTAAGTGATTGGGCCCAAGGGAGCAGACTGATTGGAAGGACAGATCACGTCAGTGTCCAGCTTTGGTGGGGCCTCCACTGCCCCCAGGCATATTCAGTGCTCTTTGGTTCTGGGTCTCACACTGTCCCTCCTTCCTCTCCCACAACTCCCTCCCCAACCTGCTTTCTTCTTTTTTCCTTCAGCTCCATGTTGTACCTGGTGTGGCGCCTTAATTATGGAGACTAAGGCTCTTGCGCTTATTATATGGGCTGGGACATGTTTGCTTCTTATGTTAATATTTAAGTTACAGCATGTATACAAAAGAAAAAAATCCTGGTTATACAATATTACTATTTTACTAATGTGGAAAACTGAGTCTTAGCGAGGTTAAATAATCTGCCCAGAGTTCACACTGGTTCAGTGGCAGAACTGAGGCTTCAACCCCGAGTGTTTTGACTTGGGAGCTTATTACCACTAGTTTGTATTATGTAAAAGTGAAATAAGCCCCCTCAGTTATATTACTTCCAAACAAGTCATCCTGCCCTAATTGTGAACATCCTGGTGTGTTTGTTAGATCGTGTACTCCTTTGTGCCAGCTTACCAAACTAATTGCCTACTGTAAGTTGATCTTGTTTTGAGGGACAGGGATGGGCATTCTGAAGAGTTGGAAATTTTTTCTGTCAAGTAAATTGACACAGTGTGCTTTGTCCATGAATTAGAGTTTTCTGGTCTGGTTTCTGTAGACATGAACTTAACTAGTGGAATAATTGTGCCATGGGTAGATCCATATTATAATTGAAAGCAACTCAGATTGCAGAAAAGGAGTGCCCCCAGCCATGACCCATAAGCAAAGAGGTCAGAAACAAATGAAAAAGTGGAAAGTTTCAAGTGTCAGAAATCTCCGTAGGTCACGTGCAACTTCCTCATTTATTTTTGTCCATTCTGAGATGGTAATTGTATGAGAAAGCCCTTTATTAATAATAAATTCAGGTTTTTTGACTTCTTTCTCTTGTAGCCTTTCTACCAGGTTTGGCACCGTAGCTGTTCCTAATATTTTATTATTTCAAGGAGCTAAACCAATGGCTAGATTTAATCATACAGATCGAACACTGGAAACACTGAAAATCTTCATTTTTAATCAGACAGGTATGTGGAAGTAATGTGCTAAGGAAGAAGATATTCTATTGCTGGGGGTCTGTGCCTTCTGTGGGTTCTGATCTGCTATAATCCTTAAGTGAAGGATTCAAGACTGACTTTGACTTGTAAAACCGCTCTTCTAATGAACTGTTACAATCCTGTTAAATACTTCCCAATCAGTATGAAGCTTAACATGAATAGGTAATTTTAATTATTATAGACACTTCCCCACCTTTTTTTTTCTTTTTTTGAGACGGAGTCTCTCTCTCTCGCCCAGGCTGAAGTGCAGTGGTGTGATCTCAGCTCACTGCAAGCTCCGCCTCCTGGGTTCATGCCATTCCCCTGCCTCAGCCTCCCGAGTAACTGGGACTACAGGCGCCCACCACCTCACCCAGATAATTTTTTGTCTTTTTAGTAGAGATGGTGTTTCACCATGTTAGCCAGGATGGTCTCAATCTCCTGACCTCGTGATCCACCCGCCTCGGCCTCCCAAAGTGCTGGGATTACAGGGGTGAGCCACCGCACCCCGCCTTTTTTCCTTTTTTTTGAGGCAGAGTCTCTGTTGCCCAGGCTGGAGTGCAGTGGTGTGATCTCGGCTCACTGCAGCCTCCCCGTCCTAGGTTCAAGTGATTTGTGTGCCTCGGCCTCCTGAGTAGTTGGGATTACAGTTGTGTGCCACCATGCCCACCTAATTTATGTATTTTTAGTAGAGACAGGGTTTCGCCTTGTTGGCCAGGCTGGTCTCAATCTCCTGGTCTCAAGTGATCCACCCGCCTCTGCCTCCCAAAGTGCTGGGACTACAGGTGTGAGCCACTGTGCCCGGTCTATTATAGATACTTTATTGATTGATTGAGATGGAATCTCGCTCCGTCACCCAGACTGGAGTGCAGTGGCACAATCTCGGCTCACTGCAACCTCTGCCCTTGGGTTAAAACGATTCTCGTGTCTTAGCCTTCCTAGTAGCTGGGATTATAGGTGGGCACCACCACACCTGGCTAATTTTTATATTTTGTAGTAGAGACAGGGTTTCACCACCTTGGCCAGGCTGGGCCTGCACTCCTAACCTCAAGTGATCTGCCTGCCTTGGCCTCCCAGAATGCTGGGATTACAGGTGTGAGCCACCATGCCTGGCCTGTTATAGACACTTTAAAACAAGTTTTATTGAAATATAATTCACATACCATACACTTTACTTATAACTTTTAACGCACATTTTTCACTTAATATTTACACAAAGGTATGCATAAATCATGAGTGTACAGGGTGATGAATTTTCACAAAGTGAATACCCTGGGTAACCACTCTGATCAAGAAACAGAACATTGGCTTATGCCTGTAAACCCAAGACTTTGGGAAGCCCGTGCGGGCGAATCACTTGAGGCCAGGAGTTCGAGACCAGCGTGGCCAACATGGCGAAACCCTGTCTCTACTAAAAATACAAAAACTAGCTGGGCATGGTGGTGGGTGCTTGTAGTCCCAGCTACTGGGGAGTCTGAGGCATGAAAATTGCTTGAGTCCAGGAGGCAGAGGCTGCAGTGAGTTGAGATCGCAGTACTACATTCCAGCCTGCTTGACAGAGTGAGACTCTGTCTCAAAAAAAAGAAAGAAACAGAACATTACCAGCCTCCCTTCAGCACCACTGCTCCTGCCTTCCCCAAGATAACCACAGTCTTGACTCCTAATATCATAGACAGTGTTACTTGTTTTGGACTTCATATTAATGGAGACATACAGGATATTTTTCTTTTGTGTCTGATTTTTTCATGCAATGGTATGCTTGTGAGATGCACCTGCATTGTCATGTATGGTTATGTTTTGTTCATTTTCTTTGCTGCTACTGTTCCATTTATTAATCCATTTGTAGATGCTATCTTAATTCCTTAATATTTGCCAAAACATATGGCCTTATTTTTTATTGTTTGTAAAATATTGTAAAGCATTGTAAATTGAAAAAATTACCTCCATTGGAAAAGTTCATTCCTCTAAAGCCTCACTGTCTCACTTGTGAGCATCCCACTCTTCCCAAAGTGTACTCCCTGGAAATAAATAGAAACTATAACACACATTGCATATATATTAAGGTGCATATAATCATTTTAGCTAACACTAAAGAAAAAAGAGCTGAGTTGGCTGATAGGAGTAAAAGTAGGATATTACAAGGTGGTTAGCTAGTCCAAGTCTTGTCATGGATCCCTGATTGTCATTTCGATTGATGTGTGGAGAGGGAGCCATTTTGTTCAGTGCTCTAAGAAAACCTAGAACACAAATCTGGGAGTCAGAGCATCTTTGGTAATCCCTGTTCCCAGTGCTGGCTTGTTTTTATAACAGTTCTTTCAGTAAATTATTAAAAGCATTTTAGGGCCGGGTGCGGTGGCTCACGCCTGTAATCCCAACACTTTGGGAGACTGAGGTGGGTGGATCAACTGGGGTCTGGAGTTCAAGACCAACCTGGCCAACATGGTGAAACCCCATCTCTACTAAAAATACAAAAAAATTAGCCAAATCCTAGCTACTTCGGAGGCTGAGGCAGGAGAATCGCTTGAACCCAGGAGGCGGAGCTTGCAGTGAGCCAAGGATCGCGCCACTGCACTCCAGCCAGGGTGACAAAGCAAGACTCTGTCTCAAAACAACAAAACAAAAAACATTTTGCATTTAGCATTACTTAACCTGTGAAAACATTCTGTAGGCACCTGAGAGGAGTTTTACTAGTTACTTACTGAACTTTGGTCTCAAAAGACACCAAAAGACAACTCTTATAAACACATTGAGTAATAAACTGCTGATGAGTTCACAGAAATTCTAGTGTTTTAGTTGTGAATAGCTGAATGGATTCCTGATCCTTTGATGCGGTGGGGAGAAAGGCAACTTACAAATTATACTGACAGGCAAGTGAAATCCATCGCAGATATTAATATATATACTAGTGGCAGTGCTTATTTTAGGACTGCATGTCATTTTGCATACCATGCATAATACTTGAGAAAAAGTCTGTGGTGGGTGCTTTTTCTGTCTGATTTGAAACCAATGATTTTTCTTTCAGGTATAGAAGCCAAGAAGAATGTGGTGGTTACTCAAGCTGACCAAATAGGCCCTCTTCCCAGCACTTTGATAAAAAGTGTGGACTGGTTGCTTGTATTTTCCTTATTCTTTTTAATTAGTTTTATTATGTATGCTACCATTCGAACTGAGAGTATTCGGTGGCTAATTCCAGGACAAGAGCAGGAACATGTGGAGTAGTGATGGACTAAAGAAGTTGGAAAGAGGAACTTCAATCCTTCGTTTCAGAAATTAGTGCTACAGTTTCATACATTTTCTCCAGTGACGTGTTGACTCGAAACTTCAGGCAGATCAAAAGAATCATTTGTTGAACAACTGAATGTATAAAAAAAATTATAAACTGGTGTTTTAACAAGTATTGCAATAAGCAAATGCAAAAATATTCAATAGAGTGGACTATTCTTGTTTTTACTGCATGAACTTAATCCAGTATTTGAAAAGTAATCCAGTTTGAAATGTGAAGATGTATTCTGGTAGAACAGTGAGTAGAATGACATGCTTACTATACAGAAGGCAAAAATAGGACTCTCAGATAATAGTTTTAGGAAACCCTTGATTTTTTATATATGTTTAAGAAGGTTAGTTTTCTGTTTCTTTGCAATTTTTCTTCCAGAGTCCATAGCAGGAAAGTATGTAACGAGAATTGGTTAGTGTGACCCCCTCAAGTAGCAAGTGATGGAAAATAAAAGAATCAAATACCTTGATGTTTGTGATCTCTACTTTCACTCAAAAAATTTGAAGTGTTTTAAGTTGTTTCTGGGTAAAGGAGATGTTAGGAGAAAGGAAATGCTGTAACTAAAGCTCAATTATTATCAGTTCTATGCTAATGTATACATTTTAATCATAGTTATCTAACCAGCATGCATTAATTGAACCTTAAAATGTTCCCAGCAGGCTGGGCACAGTGGCTGATGCCTGTAATCCCAGCACTTTGGGAGGCTAAGGTGGGAGGATCACTTGAGGTCAGGAGTTTTGAGACCAGCCTGGCCAACTTGGTGAAACCCCGTCTCTACTAAAAATACAAAATATTAGCTGGGTGTGGTGGCAGGTGCCTGTAATCCCAGCTACTTGGGAAGCTGAGGCAGGAGAATCATTTGAACCCTGAAGGCAGAGGTTGCAGTGAGCCGAGATCATGCCACTGCACTCCAGCCTGTGCAACAAGAGCGAAACTCCGTATCAAAAAAAAAAAAAAAGAAGTATTATAGAACACTCTTCTTGCCCACAAGTTGATTCTAGTCTACTTCAAGACACATTTAGTAAAGAGACAACATGTAATTTAAACAAACTTTTATTTTTTTTATTTTTTTTATTTTTTAAGATGAAGTCTTGCTCTGTCACCCAGGCTGGAGTGCAATGGTGCAATCTCGGCTCACTGCAACCTCTCCCTCCCGGGTTCTAGCAATTCTCCAGCCTCAGCCTCCTGAGTAGCTGGGACTACAAGCATGCGCCATCACACCCAGCTAATTTTTCTATTTTTAGAAGAGACAGGGTTTTGCCATGTTGTCCAGGCTGGTCTCAAACTCCTGACCTCAGGTGATCCACCTGCCTCAGTCTCCCAAAAGTGTTGGAATTAAAGGTGTGAGCCACTGTGCCTGGCCTAAACAAACTTTTTGAAAAGCTGTTTCTAAAAGATCCCTTAAATTCAGATATGACAGCTAATTACCGCATCATAAATTACTTTTATACTAATTGTTTCCAGGGTTTTAGAGTAGTTGAACGTTTATTTCATGAGGCACCCTAAATTCTATAGAAATAAAACCTCGGATGAGTCTCCTTCTTAGAGTGTTATAATGAATGGGAGTTTACAACTTTTATGTGTCATGTTGCCAACAGCTGTGGTTGGGGTGGTCGCTGGCAGGAGGGGACCATATGTCAGAATGGCCCATTATTTCTATTTTACAAATGAGCAAACTGAGGCATAGAGAGTTAGATAACTTGCCCAGGTTACACAGATTGTAAGTTGATGAAGCTGGGATTTGAATCTTCACGTGTGTACTTATAAATACAAATGTAAGGAAAACTTTGGTGAGTCCACCTCTTATAACAACATTTGAGTTATTACTGTGTGAGTGCCAAGTACTGTTTTAGATGCTTTAGATATGTTATTTTGTTTAATATCCTCATTTTAAAGAATAAACTGGCTTGGCACAGTAGCTCACACCTATAATCCCAGTACTTTGGGAAGCTGAGGCAGGTGGATTGCTTGAGTCTCAGGAGTTCAAGAGTAGGCTGGTTAACATGGCAAAACCCCGTCTTTACTAAAAATACAAAAAATTAGCTGGGCGTGGTGGTGCATCCCTGTAGTCCCAGCTACTGGGGGAGCTGAGGTGGGAGAATCACCCAGGAGGTTGAGGCTGCAGTGAGCTGTAATCATGCCACTGCGCTCCAGCTTAGGCAATCAGGATTGAGACCCTGTCTTAAAGCAAAAGAAAAAGCCTGAGGCTCTCAATAACTTGCTTTCGTTCATGCAGCTTCCACTGGCTGGACCAGGCTTTAAATTTACTCCAAAACCTTTATGTGGGATGGCACCCTGCCCTGCCTCTGCACCATGGCCCAGCTACATGGGGTTCCCCTGGAGGGAAATGTGGAGCAGAGCCATTCCCTGGAGAGGAGGTTCAAGTATAGAGAGGATCAGCCTTGAAACACTGGTGCTGCCAGGTGCAGGGGCTCATGCCTGGAATCCTAGCACTTTGGGAGGCTGTGGTGGGAGGACTGCTTCAGTGAGCCGTGATCGTGTCACTGCACTGCAGCCTGGGTGACAGAGCAAGATAATTTCTCAAAAAAACCCCCCCAAATCAGAAAAAACAAAAAACACCAGTAGTGTTGAGGGACAGCGAAAGGGGGAAAGAAGTAACCAAAGACCAGCTAAACAGCCCAAGCTAAACATGGTGTCCACTACAGAGGATGTGGCCAGTAAATCTTTGCTAAGGGACTTAAATCCTATTAATTGGGGAGCTACATGTGTGGGCAGACAATTCACAGCCCCTATCAGTGGACATCATCATTTCCCTGGGCCCTAGCATCTGCTGTTTGCTTTTTTGACTAGATCTGAATGATCAAATTTATTTTATTTTTTTGAAATGGAGTTTCGCTCTTGTCTCCCAGGCTGGAGTGCAGTGGCCCGATCTTGCAACCTCTGCCTCCCAGGTTCAAGAGATTCTCCTGCCTCAGTTTCCTCAGTAGCTGGGACTACAGGCATGTGCCACCATGCACGAGTAATTTTTATATTTTTTTGTAGCGACGGGGTTTCACCATGTTGCCCAGCCTAGTCTCAAACTTCTGGGCTGGAGTGATTTGCCTGCCTCAGCCTCTCAAAGTGTTGGAATTACAGGCATGAGCCATTTTGCCTGGTCAGTGACTATATCCGAGATGCCACAGTTTCATACAGTGGTATTAAGGAAGGAAAACGATGAAAGTAAATTTACTGAAAATTATGAAGGTTCACTTGTTAACTCACATCCACTGGTTCATTTTTCAGTTCTTTAATGAGCAAATCTGAGTAGTAGTTTTCATGATCATAAACACTCAATGTAAACGTTGGACCAGTGACATTTGATCAGGGCCCCCAGTGTGATTCCGAGTTTTGCATTTGAAACGGTTACATCTTTTTTTTTTTTTTTTTTTTTTTAAAAACAGTCTTGCTCTGTAGCCAGGCTGGAGTGCAGTGGTGCAATCTCAGCTCACTGCAACCTCCGCCTCCCGGGTTCAAGCGATTCTCCTACCTCAGTTTCCTCAGTAGCTGGGATTACAGGCACGCACCACTATGCCCCGCTGTTTTTGTATTTTTAGTAGAGACGGGGTTTCACCATTTTGGCCAGGCTGGTCTCGAACTCCTGGCCTCAATTGATCCACCCCCCGCCCCCCAATCCAAAGTGCTGGGATTACAGGTGTGAGCCACCGCGCCCGGCGAAATGGTTACATTTTGTCAAGCGGGCAAATGGGAAGAATAGAAGCCCAGGAATTTTGGGGCAAAATGCTTTATTTTTTCTAGGTCCATATGGATGGACCGCTAACAATTGCTAAGTTGAAGTTAAATGGACTCTTGTTCTTAAAAAATTTTTTTTTTGCTATATCCTCTGCAAAATTGCTTATTAATTTTGCATAATTTTTTTTTTTTTTTTTTTTTTTTTTTTTTTTTAGGGGGGTGAGGGATAGGGTATTTTGCTGTCCATGGAATGCAGTAGCGTGATTTCGGCTCACTGCAGCCTCCCGGGCTCAAGCCATCTTCCCATCTCAGCCTCCTGGGTAGCTGGGACTACAGGCGTGTGCCACCACGCGTGGCTAATTTTTGTATTTCTAATAGAGACGCGGTTTTGCCATGTTGCCCAGGCAGATCTCGAACACCTGGCCTCAAGTACTCCTCCTTACTTGTCCTCCCAAAGTGCTGTGATTACAGGTGCAAGCCACCATGCCAAGCCTGCTTAAACTATTAAGTTAAAAAAAAAAAAAAAAAAAAAAGGCCAAGCGCGGTGGCGCACACCGGTAATCACAGCACTTTGGGATGCCGACGCGGACGGATCTCGAAGTCAGGATATTGAGGCCATCCTGGCTAACACGCTGAGACCCCGTCTCTACTAAAAATACGAAATGAAATTAGCTGGGCGTGGTGGCAGGTGCCTGTAGTCCCAGCTACTCGAGAGTCTGAGGCAGGAGAATGGCGTGAACCCGGGAGGCAGAGGTTGCAGTGAGCCGAGATCGCGCCACTGCACTCCAGCCTTGGGCGACAGAGTGAGACTCCGCCTCAAAAAAAAAAAAAAAAAAAAAAAAAAGATACAAGTGAATATTCTTAATAGTATGTCAATTACATCTCAAAAAAGACAAAAATAAATAAATAAAAATACCTCCCCAAAAATGATACAAGAAAAGATTCACCTAAATCTGTTCACAGCTGTCTGCAGAGCTCCTACTGTGTGCTGAACCTGAGGGTACACAGGGCACGGACACGTTTGGAAGGTGATTACAGGCCAGGTTTCCACACTTTTTGGTCCAGGCAAACCCAGACGAGCCAGCTGGCTCAAGGACTTGGCAGCTGCGCTATGACTGAACAGAGCCTACGTTCGAACCCACGGCTGCAAGACTTAGGAGCCCACGATGGGATCTGCCGTGGTTCACTGCCCCAGGGAGTACTGAATGAACGACAGAGGGGGTGGCCCCCGAGCATCCGCCGTTGAACTGCCCCGCCCTGGCCTGCGACATCCTCCCACCCGCATGGACTGCGCGCAGGGCCGCCCAGCGGGGAGCCCCAGCTCAGTGCCAGCGGCCGCGCCAGCGAAGCAGAAGAGGCCGGCGCCCTAGGCGTGGCAAAATTCCTCCCAGCGCAGCGAGGACCGGAGGGCAAGGCCAGCGCGCGCCGGCGGGCTTGCGTCCGGGGCACAGACGCTACGGGTCCGCACGGGGCGGGGACCGCGCGCGGCTGCTGGGCCTGCGGCTGTGGGGCGGCCAAAAGCGCTGGCGACCACTGAAGCTCCTGGGGGCCTTCGGGGTCCGGGCTGCGCCTGTGCCCGCGGGAAGGCTGGGCGCTGCCCAAACACAGCCCCTGCTCCAGGCCAGCCCCGCAGGGAGACTACTGGGGCGGTGGTAGGTGGGCGAGGCCGGGTCGGGGGCTGCTGTGGGCTGCCGACAGGCAGCGCGCAGGGCAGCCCTCGGGAGACGGCCAATGGCGGCGGCGCTTTGGGCGCGGGGGGCGACTCGGCGCTTGTTGGCGGCGCTGCAGGGCCAGAGCCTACGGCTCGCGGCCGTGGTGAGTGTCTAGCGGCCGCGGGACCGGGATTCAGGGGTCCGGGTTCAGTGGGGCGGCGCGAGGCCCGGCGGCGTCGGCTGAGGGGCCAGCGGGACTGGGGCGGCCCGGGCGTGGACCCGGCCTTGGAGCTCGGGCGTCGGGTCACCGCGTCCTGGGACTGAGCACCTGCTCGGCGCGCCGCTCAGAGACCAGGCTGTCCGCAGCCTCCACCACTTGCCCCTTGGCTTTATACCTCCGCCGAAGCCTCCGAACTTGCCAACCGGAAACAAATGGGAACGAGTTTTGTTCAACTACAAAAGGCAGATGTGAAAAATAGTTGCAGAACAATTCGGTGCCCGCCGCTGCCGCTCGCTGTGCTGAGGACGAACGGCGCTGCGGGCCCGGCTCCCTATGGCGACTCCCTGTTCGTGCTTCACTCCAAGGGGAGCCCACAGAGATTTTGGAGGCGTTATTAATAAATTATCTTTTTTTGGTGATATACTGGCTTTTCTTTCCTCTTCCAAGGGGCCGTCAGTTTTCCTGCTGTAGAAATTAATAAAGTTTTAACATGCAGCACCACCTAGTGGAAAAGTGATGCATTAAACTCACCATCTCATTTTAAGTTGCATTTTAACCGCCCATTTCAGTTTGAAATGTTTTGTTTTTTTCGAGACAGAGTCTCGCTGTATCGCCAAGCCTGGAGTGCAGTGGCGCGATTTCGGCTCACTGCAACCTCCGTCTCCTGGGTTCAAGCGATTCTCCCCCCTCAGCCTCCTGAGTAGCTGAGATTACAGGCGCGTGCCACTATGCCCAGGTAATTTTTTATATTTTTAGTAGAGAGGAGTTTTCACCATGTTGGCCAGGCTGGTCTGGAACTCCTGACCTAAGGTGATCCACCTGCCTCGGCTTCCCAAAGTGCTGGGATTACAGGCGCGAGCCACTGCGTCTGGCCTGAAATTCTTTAATAGAAGAAATTTAAAATAGCTCGAAGACGGAGGAAGACAAGCACTTCGCCGCTTCTTGGCCCCGAAGGGGAGAACACAAGTTGAGTGCCTACTGTCACCTAGGCGTGTCTTCAGGCATACTCTGCCCCAGGTGCTAGTGATCCAGTAAGATTAGGGTGTTCTGGGAAGGAATGAATCAACAGACATGATTTGAGCGCTGCCACGTGCCAGGCTCAATGCTAGGTACCCTCACATTCAAGATCTGTAATCTAAGCCTTTCAAAAAATCTTGGCAGGTAGATATTATAAAATTCCCACTACAGACAGAAGGATCCCGGAATTCAGAAAAGCGAAGTTTAGCATTCCATAGCTAGCCTACTCCCCACCCCCTGAAAAATTAAGCCCACCACAAAGGGTTCCGTTGCGAATGTGCCCTCTTGGGGGCCTTTGATGTTATGTAGATGAAGTGGCTCCATTTCCCAGTCCTGGGCGTGGTCCCTGCTGCTGGGCAGGTGTCTGTTCTGGGCATAAAGTGCATACCATTGAGCTTAGTGGGGATGTGGATGGTCCAGCACTCAGAGAAAACAGCTCAGAGTGTGTTCCACAGACTCCAGGTGCCTGCCCCCACTGCATGTTTAATGGTTTTCTTTGCAGCTGCTCAATGTAGACACACGTAATTCTGTTTCTTTTCCAAAATCCTCCGAGTTGACAAAATAAGTGTTTAATAAGAATTTTAGATTTCTTTCTATCTTTTTTTTGAGACGGAGTCCCGCTCTGTCGCCCAGACTGGAGTGCAGTGGTGCAATCTTGGCGCACTGCAACCTCCGCCTCCTGGGTTCAAGTGATTCTCATGCCTCAGCCTCCCGAGTAGCTGGAGCTGTAGGTGCGCGCCACCATGCCTGGCTAATTTTTGTATTTTTAGTAGAGATGGAGTTTCACCATCTTGGCCAGGCTGGCCTCGAACTCCTGACCTTGTGATCTGCTCGCCTCGGCCTCCCAAAGTGCTGGGATTACAGGCATGAGCCACCACACCTGGCCAAGAATTTTAGATTTCTTATGATAGATGTACGTGTAAGTTTTTCAGAACTGTCACTGAGGAACTGATGAATGAATCTTTTGATTCTTAATAGTAAATGGTGTTTGTTTATTACTTACTTTTCTTTCTTTCTTTTTTTTTTTCTTTTTTTAAAAGACAGGGTCTTCTTACTCTGTTGCCCCGGCTGGAATGCAGTGGTGATCATAGCTCACTGCAGCCTCAGTCACCTGGTCTTAAGTGATCCTCCCACCTCAGCCTTCCAAGTAGCTGGTACTATGGACATGGTCCACCACCCCAGCAATTAAAAAAAAATTTTTTTTTGTAGAAACGAGGTCTCATTGTGTTGCCCAGGCTAGTCTTCAACTCCTGGCCTAAAATGATCCTCCCACCTCAGCCTCCCAAAGTGCCAGGATTACAGATGTGAGCCACTGTGCCCGGCCCTAGTAAATGTTTTTTTTTTTTTGAGATGGAATCTCACTCTGTTGCCCAGGCTGGATGGCTGGGATTACAGGCATGTGCCTCCATGCCCAACTAATCTAGTAAGTGGTTTTTAATAACAAGCTTTTGCATATTTTTGTTTAATTAAAAAGTATTCTCTGCTGGGCACCGTGGCTCACGCCTGTAATCCCAGCACTTTGGGAGGCTGAGGTGGGCAGATCCCTTGAGGTCAGGAGTTTGAAACCAGCCTAGCCAACATGTGAAACCCTGTCTCTACTAAAAATACAAAAAATTAGCTGTGTGTGGTGGCATACACCTGTAATCACAGCTACTCAGGTGGCTGAGGCAGAAGAATCGCTTGAACCTGGGAGGCAGAGGTTGCAGTGAGCTGAGATCACACCACGGCACTCCAGCCTGGGCGACAGAGCAAGACTTGGTGTCAAAAAAAAAAAAAAAATACTCTCACCCTTTTGTTAGTTGTGGGGAAGAATAGCCGACCTAGCAAAGAAGAAAAACTAGAAAACTGATTCATTAGTATTTTTTTCTTCATCTTCATAGAATAAGTTGTTTAAAGGTAAAATCTTTTTGATCTCTTAATTAATATTAGTGATAAAAGACTTTAGGATTTCTGAAGTGGGAGTGAGTTGCAGCTTAATGGCAGAGAATCCAGGGAATGCAGCTTAGCCCACAGTTGCCCTTTGATGAGGAACCTTCACTAATGTTCATCTTTCTGGGTGACAGCGTCTCTCTCACCTGAGCCTACAGTAACTCTGCGAGTAGTTAAGACAGGAAGTATTGCCTGGAGTGAGAACCCTGCTTTCCTGACTTCTAGTCCAGTGTCCATCTCTTCTCTCTGACCCTGATGTTTGAAGTTATTTAGTTAAAAATCCAATAGCATGGGAACTGTGGGCCTGTTAAGCAACAGAACCTGGCTTTGGGAATGTCATCCCCATGGTGAGTAGAAACAGGCCAGACAGTGCACACAAGTGCTTTGGACTGGGCAGTACTCTGGCCAAACTATGGAGAGAGTTTGTCTGACTGGTGCTCTGAGAAAAGGGCTTCATAAACTCACCCCACTGAGGCCAGGGCTTTTTACCTGTAGTCCAGAGTACTCTGGCCAAACTATGAGAGAGTTTGTCTCAACTGGTGTGCTCTGAGAAAAGGGCTTCATAAACTACCCCACTGAGGCCAGGGCTTTTTTACCTGTAGTCCAGGAGGATCTGTGAACCCCTCAGTTAGGATAAAATCATATGTAATTGTGCATTTGTTTTTCCCCATCCAGGGATTGCTTTATTAGATGTGACAGGAGATGGTAATTCCAAATCTTTTTTTTTTTTTTTTTTTTTTTTTTTGAGACGGAGTCTCACTCTTGCCCAGGCTGGAGTGCAGTGGCTGGATCTCAGCTCACTGCAAGCTCCACCTCCCAGGTTTACTCCATTCTCCTGCCTCAGGCTCCCGAGTAGCTGGGACTACAGGCGCCTGCTACCTCGCCCGGCTAGTTTTTTGTATTTTTTAGTAGAGAAGGAGTTTCACCGTGTTAGCCAGGATGGTCTCGATCTCCTGACCTCGTGATCCGCCTGTCTCAGCCTCCAAAAGTGCTGGGATTACAGGCTTGAGCCACCGCGCCCGGCCGGTAATTCCAAATCTTAAAACTATCTTTCATTTCTTTGTTCTCAAAAGACTGACCAAAACAAAGCTAGCTCTGTACAAAATAAACTGCCTCTATGGTATGTTCCCTCTGGCCCCCTTACTGCTGCCTCAGACATCACAGTTCAGCTTCTCTGGCTTATTACAGATACAACAGAGAGTAGTGAAGACTACTGAGGTGATGTAGGGCTGTCCGAAGACCAATAGACCAGGAGTTTGGAGCCTTAAATTCTAATTCTGGTCCTGCCAATAGACTTGCCACAAGTCCTGGAATTCTGCAGTGTCCAAGATGGCCAGTGGTAATAGTCGATCTTTGTTGTATCTGTAATAAGCCACAGAAGGGCTGGGCACAGTCACTTATGCCTGTAATTCCAGCACTTTGGGAGGTCCAGGCTGGCGGATCGCTTGAGCTCAGGAATTCAAGGTCAGCCTGAGCAACATGGTGAAAATCCGTCTCTACCAAAAATACAAAAAATTAGTTGGGTGTGGTGGTGTGCACCTGTAGTCCCAGCTACTGGGGAGGTTGAAGTGGGAGGATCACTTGAGTCCAGGAGGCGGAGGTTGCAGTGAGCCGTGATTGCACCACTATGCTCCAGCCTGGGCGATAGAGCGAGACCCTGTCTCAAAACAACCAACCAACCAACCAACCAACAAACCAACCAACCAGAGAAACTGAATTGTGAAGGTTGAGGCAGCAGTAAGTGGGCCAGAGGTTACATACCATGGAGGCAGCTTATTTTGCACAGAGCTAGCCTTGCTTTGGTCTCTCTTGTGAGAACAAAGGAATGAAAGATGGTTAGAATTTGTTGCCTTTCAGACTTTTCTACTTCTCTGCTTAAGGTAAGGAGCCATAAGTTTGAGTTTGAGTAAACGTCTACATTTTCAGATGAAATGTGTTCTCTTCATAGTCGTCAGATACTCACAGGTTGACTGCAGAGGAGAGGAACCAAGCTATACTTGACCTTAAAGCAGCAGGATGGTCGGAATTAAGTGAGAGAGATGCCATCTACAAAGAATTCTCCTTCCACAGTTTTAATCAGGTAATTGTTACAAATTCTTGCTAGGGCTGTGGTCTATTTTGGTCACCGTAGGCTGTAACTCTTTCTGATTCTGCCTGTCTGGTCCCATGCAAATCCAGGATTCAACTCTTCCCTTCTTTAAGAATTCAGTGATAGAGTGACATCCTTGTTGACACTTGCTACCACCCACCTGGGTGATGTTTAGCTCTGGGGGAAGAGGGTGGTTTGTGTTATTTGGAATACAAATTCTGAAACCACTATTGCTTTGATTTGGTGTTGGTTAGGATATGTAGTTTCTTTTGAAATTTCAAATAACATTAGAAGAGAGCGTCAGCTTTTTATTATTGACTATTATTTTTTGAGACAGGGTCTTGCTCTGTTGCCCAGGCTGGAGTGCAGTGGTATGATTGTGGCTTATTGCTGCCTCGACCTCCTGGGCTCAGGTGATCCTCCCACCTCAGCCTCCCAAGTAGCTGGGACTACAGGCATGTGCCATGCCCAGCTAATTTTTGTATTGCTTGGAGACACAGGGTCTGGCTATGTTGCTCAGACTGGTCTCAAATTCCTGGCCTCAAGCGATCCTCCTGCCTTGGCCTCCCAATGTGCTGGGAATACAGGTGTGAGCCACTGTGCCCAGCCTAAGCTTTTTTTTTTCTTTTTTTTCTTTTTTTTTTTTGAGATGGAGTCTCGCTCTGTCGTACAGGCTGGAGTGCAGTGGTGCGATCTCGGCTCACTGCAAGCTCCACCTCCTGGGTTCACGCCATTCTCCTGCCTCAGCCTCCTGAGTAGCTGGGCCTATAGGTGCCCACCACCACACCTGGCTAATTTATTGTATTTTTAGTAGAAACAGGATTTTACTGTGTTAGCCAGGATGGTCTCCATCTGCTGATCTCGTGATCCGCCCGCCTCAGCCTCCCAAAGTGCTGGGATTATAGGCGTGAGCCACCGCACCCGGCTAAACTTTTTATACTTATCCGAAAGGGGCATGAATAAAACTGGTTGAGGAAGATGTACCTGCTTGACTTATTTTCCCCTACTTTTTCTGGGCCGTTGGTAATTTTTCTTTCTTCCTGCAGTTAAATTTCTATCTCTCAGTCATCTCCCAGGCTGCACCCTTTTCCCTGATTGGCTTATTTTTCTCCAGCCCAGTAGCCAGATCCTGAACCTTTTCTTAAAACCTGCCCTCCCTCTTGGAAAGTCAGCTTTCACAAAGTAACTGTTCCATTAGGGACCCACCCTGTTTAGAGAGTCATCTCCCGTGACTTAACCTTCAGTTACTACACCACTGCATTTATATAAGGTAAACGCTTTTGACTATTTTGTTTGTTCAGTTAGTTTGGTAATCCTTTGGACAGATTTATTGTTTTTATTTATATTGGGTGTCGGCATCTAGAAGTCAGAGACCATGTTTGCTTAAATAACTCTGTATTGTACCTAACACAGTTCTGGGTACAAACAGGCATTTGATAAATGCAGACATTGATTACAGTGTTTGCTAGTTTCTCGAAGGGTGTGTGAGGACCAGATTCACACCAAAGAAACCTTCAGCATGTTTTGCTAGTAAATGGCGTTGGCTCCACTGAGCTGCATGCCCGATTCTGTTCTCTATCCATCTGGCTGCCAGCCTCTGCTGTGAGTCTCCAACTCCTAAGGAAACCTGGACCAAGCAGACTCCCTGTCCCTGCTGCCCCACGTGCTCGACAGCTCTTGTCCGGAGCTTAGCACGCTGTGGCTGGTGGCAGGGAATCCCATTGGTACAGTAAGCTTGTGCATAAGCTCTAGGTAGCATTTCCCAAGCTTATTAAAATTCTTACATGTATACAGCTTGACTTCTTTAAACCTGGCCTAATTTATTGGGCTTGAACATGTGGCTTAAAGTACTTGAGTGGTGTTGCCTCAAGCCCTGCCCATGATTCAGTCCTCCAGCACCATTCTGACCTTGCGCTCAGGGTGACTTTCAGCAATGGTAGGGAAGCATACTGGATTGATTGTAACATTATTCACTGGGGCATTTAATTAAGTAGACTTTTTTCCCATTCACCCAACTTTTAGGAAAAAGAGGCAAATGACCAGAAAATCAGCTGATGTCAGGGAATGTATTCAGAGAACCAACACTGAGATTATATCCAGGGGTCAGTTTTCCAGCCAGGCTCCTATGACTTCTGCGTGTACCATGGCCTGTAGTGGTACCAGTGTCCTGACAGTTGTGAGTGCCCTCCAGCGAAACACAACTAGGAACACAGCTACAGTCAAACAAGTTGAGCTTATTGCTTATTGCAGTGAGGGAGAATGTACACCGAAGGGCACCATGGGGTGAGCCAGTATAGGGTTTGGACTTGTGTAGTGATTTGGGGACTTTGCTCTGGATTAGATGCTGTTAGGAAATGGGTAATTCTGTCATTTAGTGTTTTTTTTTTTTTTTTTTTTTTTTTTTTTCTGAGACGGGATTTTGCTCTGTAGCCCAGGCTGGAGTACAGTGGTGCAATCTTGGCTCACTGCAAACTCCACTTCCCAGGTTCACGCCATTCTCATTTAGTGTTTTAATAAATTGTATCTATAGGGAGAGTAGATTAAAGTGGTGCCAAAGCTGAAACTGAAGAAGAAGCAATAGTCACTCGTTAGCTGGGAGAGGAGGATGTTTGGTATTTTGTGGCTTGGACAGTGTTCATATTTTGTCTGTGTTCAGATATTGCAGAGTGGTCTTGTTTTTGCCTTCATCCATCATGGTCACAGAGTGGCCTTGTCTGATGTTGGTGTTGATGTTCGAAAGGAGAGAACCAAGGACTAGTTGATAGTACCAGGCCAGCGCCCAGGTATCAGGAGCTGCTTTTCTCTTGCTCACAACTAGTGAGTAGAGTAGTGACCCTCTGGCACTGACAGGTCATAATTCATCTTTCATCTAGGACAGAAAAGCTATTGTTTTTTATTGTAACAACAGCATAACATTAAAATAGGATGGCGTAAATAAAAAAAATTTCCAATCGCAATACTTTCATTTTTCTTTGTTCCCTTCTGGTCTTTCTCCATGGATATGTTTGTTTGCCAAGCATGCCAGCGCATGCCAGTTATACATGTGGTTACATTTTTTAAAAAAAATTTTAATTTGTCATAAAATATTTCTTAATTCAACAAAGATTTATTAAGCATTTTCTGTGTGCTAGGTACTACTCTTAAGCTCATACAGTTCCCATCCCACTGGGAAGATAGACAATAAACAGAAGAATAGGAAATATAATTTCAGCTAGTGATGAGTACCCTGAAGAATATATGCTTCTCCTAGCATAGGTGGATGAAGTAGCCATAGGCATCAGTTGCTGTTAGCCTCCTGTTTCTACCCTTGATGGTGGTACACGGGCTCCACAGTGCATCATGGGTGAATGGGCAGTATGTTGGTGACAGACAGTGACTCTGTAAGCAGACAAGAGCATGACAGTGGTGGGACTCGAGGCAGGGAGTTTCCACACTAGGAGTGCTTGGACCCAGACAGGGTGGGGTTGGCATTTGTAAAGGAACTTTGCTTTTTTTGTTGTTCCTGTAGACAGAAGGTGGGAGAGGTCTGCAAGTGACATATAAACTTAGGTGTTTGGTAACTGCAGGATGTCTGTGTTGAAAGAACAAAATGTAAGGTAGAAATGTGGGTGTAAGTGTCCCATAAAGACAGATTTTGTTATGCATTGACATGTATGAGATGAACTGGAAGCTTACAAAATCTGAGGAAATTTTAAGCTTAAAAGTAGGTACAGAAGGTGAGGCTTTGGAACCTAGGAAATAACTACTACAGGTGCCAGCAGGTGGAGCCCTCCAGGGCGGGAGCCCAGCCAGGCCAGGCAGCAACACCCCTTTCTGCCCTGCAGAAGGCTGTCCCTGTTCTTTCACTCCTGAATACCTGGGGCCACCCTTGTTCAGCCTGGAAATAAGCTCAGGATCAGGACTAGGTAAGTGGCAGTGACTGGGCACCTGGGTGAATGATAAATTTTGTGTGTAGGACATGAGGAGTTCCCAATGGTGATTCAGGAGGAAGCGACCAAGCTTTATGAGAATCAGCTGTGGTTCTCTGCAGAGGCGCTCCTGGGCCCTGTCTCTGCTTTCTTTGGTGGGCCTGCCCAGCAGGGCATTCAGTCGTATTGGATGGAATCAGATGAGCTGGCTGATATTCAGGGCAAGGTCCAAGCTTTATTGGTTCTGTATCTTGTTCGACACCCTCACCTTTTGGTTGCTGTGCTGCTGCCACTGAAGCTTTCTGGAGCTACAGCGGGAGGGAGGAGGAGTGCTTTGGGCGCACAGGTTGGGTTGGTGGCACATCCTAGCAGCAGTAGCACCATATGTGACTTTGGGGTTTGTAAAATGTTTCTTTTCCTGTGCCCACAGAGATTCCCGCATAGAGCAGTTCAAAGTTACTGTTGCTGCCTTACTTTATAAAAATGTTGTATTGAGGAATTTGATAATAGGCTTATGTTGAACATTTTGAAACACTTAGTGAAGTCAAAGGCTTGATGATACCAGAAGAAAGACAACTGCTGATGAAAGTCATAACAATCCTCCACAGGATATTGGTGGAGGTCTCGATAGCTCTCATTGTGAATGAATTAGTTTGGGTTTGATTGTTCTTTGTTGTGCACATCAAAGTTATGAGTGAGTAATGCATCTGTGCACTCTTGAAAGAGGATATTCTACCTGTGGAGGGTAGGGAAGCACTCCTAAAGAGGATGCCTGTGGCCTGGGTGTCATATGGATTAGAAAATGTCATTTTGTGCTGGGCACAGTGGCTCACACCTATAATCCCAGCACTTTGGGAGGCCGAGGCAGGTGGGTCACCTGAGGTCAGGAGTTCAAGACCAGCCTGGCCAAAATGGCGAAACCCCTTGTCTACTAAAAATACAAAAATTAGCTGGGTGTGGTGGAAGGTGCCTGTAATCCCAGCTACTTGGGAGGCTGAGGCAGGAGAATGGCTTGAGCCCGGGAGGCGGAGGTTGCTGTGAGCAGAGATCACGGCACTGCACTCCATTCTGGGCGACTGAGTACTCCATCTCAAAAAATAAAATAAAATGTCGTTTTGATTTTAAAGTATAATCTAATGTTTGTGTGTCTGGCACCAGGTAAAGTGAAAACTCGTATGGCTATCACACACACTAGCTTGCATTTAACATGTGCCCATGATTGGCTTTGTAACCACAGCAGACTAGAAACCTGAGAAAGTGTTCATAATTTTCATTGGAATAGAATAGAGACACTCATATTTTAGCAAACTTTACCTAAAATGTGAGATGCTAGTAAAAATATCTGTGTAGTGTTCATGTTGGTGTTCCCTTTGGAGTTCTTCCTGAGCAGGACCATGTTGATGCTCCCAGGAGGTGGCTAGAATGTCAGTGTTGGCGTCCACCAGGGTAGGGGAATAAGAGTCTGAAATGTTATCATTTGGAGCTTTGTTGCTGCTGCTTGTGTTGTACAATAGGTCTAGACCTGGTGTGTATTTGTAAAAACGCGTGCAATAGATAGATGAGGAGGAATGTAAAACAGGTGTCAACAGTGCAAATATGACACCACACTGCAGTGTGAAAACACCATGGTCCTTACACCATCCTTTAATAAAAATGGACTTTTAACTGCATCATTTTCTCTTAGTCGTGTAGTAAATCTTCTGTTTACAGAACTTAGCCTGAGTATTTTGAAAAAGTCAAGCAGCCAAGAAGTATGATTTCCTCAACAGTCTTTGTCTTGCCCTTTTACAGATGGAGTAAAATCAGGTGTGTAAAAAATAAAAAAGCAGTTTGAGCTGACGTGAAAGGTATTTCAGATTTATGCTTTGCAGATGATATTGGTATGATTAATGCATTCATTGCCTTTTTTTATTGCTTTTCACAGATAATGTACATGATGCATGGAAAATGTTGTGGGTTTAAATCTGTGCCAGGTTTAGACTGTGAATATCAACAGATGTTATCATATAAATACCATAATTATTATAAAATAAAAAATTTGTCATGAAATGCAGTGACATAAATTTCATTTATGTAAATTGCTTTCATTAGTATAAAACCTTAGTGTAGCTGTTAGGGTTTGTGAAGCACTTTAGATGAGATTAACTTGGTATAAAGTGGTCACAAATGGGTTGCTTTAAATTTAACTGACAAGAAAATCACACTCAAAACTTAGGAAATTACCGAGGCCTTTGCCTGCATTGCTGGTACCGCTTAAATAGGTTGACTATGAATTAATAACAATAGACTGCTGGCTCAATAATTGCAGAAAATAATTGAAAGGAGACCTTAAATAATCACTTGAAAGTATTTTGGTCTTGCTCTTTTCTGTTCTGTTTCTGTTTTTCTTTGGTATGCCTGCCCACCGCTTCAGTACTGCCATTTTCAACAGCTTTCGGGTTTGCACAGCAGTTTTGTCAATAGTTGTGGCGCGTTAGGGCCGTGACACAGAACTTGCATTTAGATGTGTCAGAATACAAATATTGGGTGCCTGATGGAGCAGCCGTAGCAGCTGCACAGCCACCATGTTCTTAGCAGAAACAGTGCTGCAGTCACATTCCTGTGGCTGGGTAGCGGCCAGTTGCTTTCTGCCCTCAGGAGGGATTTGGTCCAGCAGTGTGGACAGGTGGCTGAGGTTCTTCTTCCTGGCTCTGAGCTCTCTGTGTTCTGCTCTTTTTCTTACATCCTTTTAAACAAAACAAAGCAGTAATATTCTCTCCCCTGTGTTGCAGAGAATTACTATTATATTGCGCTTTTGATCTCGGTTGGAGTGGGGCATTCTGACTCATTTACTGAATTTCGCAGAAGGACACTAAACCAGATTGAGATCATGGAATTACTTGTGGTCATACTGGGTCATGTCACAGTCACCAGATGCCAGACTCACATCTCTGGTTCCCACAGCAACATTTTTAGATCCTACTGTGACATAGAAAGGTTGTTTTTTTGTTTTTGTTGTTTTAGGCGAGATCTTGTTTTCCAAGGACTACTTGCTGGATTAGTTTTCTCCCTTAAATGGGTTTTACCATACTTCCCAGAGGAAGGGAATATTCGCCAGCTGAAACAAACAAAGCTGTACTTGTTTGGGAGTAGCCCAGGTATCACTGTTGAGCAATCAAAGGTCATTTAATTGTATCATTAAAATCAATCCTATCAAAACAGCAAATGCTGCTATTGACTCTGTTTGCTCGCGTGCTCTCTGCCAACAGGGCAGGATGCAGACTTTTTTTTTTTTTTTTTTTTGAGATGGAGTCTCACTCTGTCACTTAGGCTGGAGTGCAATGGTGTGATCTTGGCTCACTGTAACCTCCACCTCCCAGGTTCAAGCGATTCTCCCGCCTCAGCCTCTCAAGTAGCTGGGATTACAGGCACCCGCCACCAAGCCTGGCTATTTTTTTTTATTTTTAGTAGAGATGGCGTTTCACCATGTTGGCCAGGCTGGACTTGAACTCCTGAGCTCAAGTGATCCACCTGCCTTGGCCTCCCAAAGTGCTGGGATTACAGGCGTGAGCCCAGCTGCTGAGGCTTTTTGCTATATCATACATCAAACTGACTTCAAGTGCTCTGTCCTTGCCATCGCAGCCCTGTCTGTGGACATGCACCAGGTGTGTGGAGCAGCCCCAGGCTGGCTGGGCCAGGAGTCACATGGTGTGGTTCTGTGAGTATTAGTGAACCCAGCAGAGCTGTTGGGCTTGCATCCACTGAGGGGCTAGTGCCGCTCTGGATCCAAGGTGTGGAAGGAGGAAGATACAACAGAAGGACCTGGTTTCATTTCTGCCCAGAAGATCTCCTAGTTTTGTTGGGGAGGTGGCACATCTGAATTGCACAAGGTGACTGACTTTTTCAGCTCACCATGTTAGTCATGTACTAAAATGTGAAGTGCTGTGCTAATGAGCCCCAGGAGGTACACTCCAGGGTGGCTGCTGCCTGCAGAAGGGGGGTTTCGAGTTGGTTCTTGAAAGTCCGATATGTGGTTGTAAGGGAAGGCACTAAGGGAGGCGTTAGCAGGTGGCATAGGTCAAGGACAGGGAGTAAGAGGACGTACCTTGTCAGCAGTGTGCTGGGAAATGAGGGTCCTAAGATGGGTTCAGTGAGCTGGGCTACAGAGTATGGTGCAGGGGTTCCTGTGGTGTACTCTCCTGGGGTAGCTTTCCCACCAGTTTAGGGTGTCTGAAAGCAAACTCTTGTCTCTCTAACTGTCCTTCAAATGGCTTGTTCCTCTCAGGAGCCGCACCACCGTCCTCTAAAGCACCTAGACCTGAAACGGAATAATTATCCTGGTGATTTGTTACCAAGAACTGGTCAGTCGTCCTGTAGTGCCTTTCACAGGACTGCTGCTGGCCTGGATACAGCTGCCTTCCCTCTAGAGTTCTGGTAGGAGCTTCCTGGCCACATGCTACATTTAGGCTCTCCCTGCTCCCACTGGCCTGCGTGCCACTTTGTCATGACCAAGTTGATCTCTGCTCAGATAATCTCACTGCCTTCCGATTATATTTTATAGGGCATGCTTCATCTTCTCAGAGGTTTTTAAAGCTGCCCACAGCCCAGCCCTAAGCCTACCTCGAATTACTCTGCAAGAAGCCTTTTTCCTCAGAGATTAGAACTGTAATGTACATGAGAGGTCACCTAGTCATCCCTTTAACTGAGGAAGTGAGGAAAACAAGGCTCAAGGCCACAAAAATTAGTGGCCATGCTGGAATTGGAACCAAGACCCTTTCCACCTCAGTTCAGTGTTTTTTTTGTTTTTGTTTTGTTTTGTTTTTAGAGATGGGGTCTTGTTCTGTCACCCAGGTTGGAGTGCAGTGGCGTGATCATATCTCACTGCAGCCTAGAACTCGTGGGCTCAAGCAGTCCCCCTGCCTCAGTCTCCTGTGTAGCTGGGATTACAGGTGTGAGCCACCACACCCAGCTCCTCAGTTCAGTTCTTTTCTTCCTTTATTCAAACTGTTCTTCTCCTTTCCATGCTCCATCTCACCCTATCCTGCCCTTTCTGTTCACATCCCACCTATTTCTAGAAAGTTTTTCTTGATTTTTATGCACTTAACAATAAGGAGTTATTGAACACTTACGGTAGGCTAGACACTGTGCCAGACACTGAGGTATAGCAGTTAACAAAGCTGGTACTGTCCCCATCCTCACAGAGTATACAGTGTAGTGGGGGAGGGAGAATGTAAACAAAGAAAAAAGTGAATATATAATTACAAGTTATGCTTAGTGCCAGGAAGGAAAATATTAACAGCAAATGGTTAGTGAACACTTAAACTATGGGCCATGGCACTGTGGGAAGGACTTTACATGTATTCACTCATTTAATCTTCACAGAACCCTATGAAATAGATTTTCCAAATTTTACAGAGGAGGAGACTGAGACTTAGACTAAGCGACTTGCCCAAGGTCTCACAGCTGGTAAGTGTGGAGTCAGGATTGGATTCCAGGCAATCCATACTGTTAGTGGCTCAGATACTGCCTCTGCATCAGAAAGGGCTGCTGTGAGAGAGAATAATGGGAAGACCTAATTCTCTTTGAGGATCATGGTCAGGGAAGGAATAAGCTGATGCATTGAAAAGACCAATCAGAGGATAGAGTAGAGGGGAAAGAAGTTAAATCAAGGAGAGTAGTAAGGAGGCTGTCACATCTTTCCAGGTGAGAGATCATCACTGGGGTGGACATAGCATGAGATTATGAACTGGGACAGTGGCAGAGGAGAAGTGGAGAAGTATAGAGACTGGAGCTTTAGGAGTTTACATGAGCAGAAACCAGTGGTAGCACACATAATTCTTATAGAAAATGCAGATATAAAGAGAATACTCACGTTTCTCTGACTAGCTAGGAGTGGTAATGGATGGTAAGGAAGAAGAGTGAAGGGTATTAAGAATGACTCTTAGGCTGAGTGCAGTGGCTCACGCCTGTAATCCCAGCACTTTGGGAGGCCAAGACAGGCGGATCACGAGGTCAGCAGATCGAGACCATCCTGGCTAACGTGGTGAAACCCCGTCTCTACTAAAAATACAAAAAAGTTAGCTGGGTGTGGTGGTGGGTGCCTGTAGTCTCAGCTACTTGGGAGGCTGAGGCAGGAGAATAGCATGAACCTGGGAGGCAGAGGTTGCAGTGAGCCGAGATCGCGCCACTGCACTCCAGCCTGGGCAAAAGAGCAAAACACCCCCTCTAAAAAAAAAAAAAAAAAAAAAAAAAATTAAGAATGACTCCCAGATTTCGGGCCTGGAGGAAATAGGTGGCTGGAAGTGATATTTACTGAGCTGGGGAAGTGTGGGAGAGGAATGGGTTTGGGATGCAGGGATCAAGATTACTGGTTTGGACACTGTTACATGGGAGTGCTGTGAGACTTCCAAATGTCAACTTCCAGAAAATTTATGTCTGAATTAGAAAGCCAGAGGTAAGGTCTGGGTTGGAGATAACTGGAGAATCATAGGTATGTATGGAAAAAAGCCAAGGTAATAGATGAGGTGACTCAAGAAGAAATTATAGTGTGAGAAGAGAGGATGGCTCAGGACTTGGTCCATTTAGGGGTGAGTTAGAAGAAGAGGAACTGGCAAAGACAAGAAAGATTTGTTAGAGAAATGGAAAAAGGCTGCTGGGTCATGCCTGTAATCCCAGCATTTTGGGAGGCCAGGGCGGGAGAATTACTTGAGGCCAGGAGTTTGAGGCTGCAGTGAGCTGTGATTGTGCCACTGCACTGCAACCTGGGTGATAGAGCGAGACCTTGTCTCAAAAAAAAAAAAAAAAAAGGAAGAAAATCAGGTCAGTGTCATGTCACAGAATCCAAAAGAATATGGTGTTTCAAAAGGAAGGAAGTATCAATTCTGCTGAGACACCCAGAAAGATGAGTACCAGAGGACAGCATGGAGGACATCAGTGACCATAGCAAAGATGGTTTCCGTGGGTGGGGCACAGGCCAGCCTGGAGAGGAGGTGGAGCTCATATGCTTTATAAAGATCTGATAGTCTCAGACATTAGTCTGTTGTCTTTCTTTCCATTCAGAATTCACTCCTAGAGTTATCTTATGCTTGTTTATGGTGTTCTTTCAGGCTTATTTTTTAAATTAAAAAAATTGTTTTTAGAGATGGAGTCTTCCTCTGTCATCCAGGCTTGAGTACAGTGGTGTGATCGTAGCTCACTGCAGCCTCCGACTCCTGGGCTCAAGTGATCCTCCTGCCTCAGCCTCCCACGTAGATTGGACTACAGGCACATGCCACCATGCCTGGCTAATTTTTAAAACATTTTTTGTAGAGACAAGGTCTCACTATGTTGCCTAAGTTGGTCTTGCACTCCTGACCTCAACAACCCTCCCACCCCAACCTCCCAAAATATTGGGATTATAGGCATGAGCCATTGTTCCCAGGCCAACCTTGTTTTGATATTAATTAAACATCTTAGAGCTTTGATATAGGGCCTATCAATGTTACAACCAGAAAGGATGGGGCAACTGAAGCCCAGGGGTAATGTGGTTTGCCCAGGGTGACAACAAACTAGTGGCAAAGTTAGGATGAGACTGAATGCAACTTAGATTATGAACAGGGTTGTGTAACTGTTTACCTGTGTCTCTCTCCAGCTAAGGTGTAAGCACCTTGAGGACAGAGACTTGGGTTGTACCTGTGTACATCTCCCATAGTACCTAGCCCAAGGTTACCTAGTTGTATTTTGAATGCATGAGGGCCCCTGATTTGGTTCACCATGGGTGATCCTAGTCAGTGTACTTAGCCCCAGGGGAACATAGTGTTTCATCTTTTGTTCCCTACAGGATACATACAACCCTCTCTCACTGGGGACTTTTCCTCTCCCTCATCTCCTTACTCCTAGACATGGATGATTCCTAATGGTGACCAGCTTATCTGGCTACTAAGTTGCTGTGTCTGAGAGGAGAGAGTGCTCTGTAGTGCCACAGGGCGCTTCCAAGAACTGCAGCATTGATTGTGCCTTTGTTCTGCATGCAGTATTGAGACATCAGAGAAGAAAATGGGCTGCTCATGGTGTCTCTAGTCAATTGCCTCCAACCATGAGAGACTAAGACTGGCATTCAGTATTTTAGCACTACAGTTTCAGGCACGCACAACCGCAGCAGCCACAATCGGTTGAGAATATTGGTGTCCTGAGGACCCGTGGCAGATTCTTCTGAGACTCGACCAAATACCACTCTGGGAGCCTGCCACAGGCCTGTTCGCTGGCTATCCATTAGACATTCATTTCTGTTTCAAGACAATTCTTTAATCTCAAATTCTTTCTTTCAGCATTCTTGGCTGATTTTTCTTTTTCTTTTTTTTTTTGAGACTCTCGCTCTGTTGCCCAGGCTGGAGTGCAGTGGCATGATCTTGGCTCACTGTAACCTCCACCTCCCAGGTTCACGCCATTCTTCTGCCTCAGCCTCCTGAGTAGCTGGGACTACAGGCATCCGCCACCGTGCGTGGCTAATTTTTTTGTATTTTTAGTAGAGACGGGGTTTCACCATGTTAGCCAGGATGGTCTCGATCTCCTGACCTCCTGATATGCCCGTCTTGGCCTCCCAGCACTTTGGCCACCCGTGCCCGGCCTTCTTTTGCTTTTTTTTTAAAATCATAACTTGGTAGTGTGCTATAAAGAAAAGCTAAAATATATTGGCAGTATTTTTGAGGAGTTAATTTTAGAAATTTGGATATAAAAATGTTGCTTTAAGGTCATTCTGTACACAGGTAACTCTTAATATTGCATCATTTATCTGAAATGCAGCCAAATCAGTTTTCTTTGTGACAGATTAGAGGGTTACAAAGTATTTTATGAACTAATGAGTGTTTGAGTGTCTATTGGGTATAGTAGCTCATTGTTAGGTGACCTATGAAATAACATAGGTTGTTTCATTGAAGCTTCCCAGCAGCCTTCTAAAGTTAGGTGTTCGTATCCCCATTTTGCTAATGGTGGAAAAGTCAGGAAAGTTAAAGAGCTTGCTCAAACTTACAGAGGAAGTGGGCAGTGGGACCATCATTCCAAGGCCAGATATCCCACCCTAAGGCGACCCCCTCTTTTCTTAACACAAGTCTGTGTTTTGAAGGATTGTGGAATAACAAAGGATGTGGATTGCACTTTTATTTAGGAATGTCTTGGAGCTTTGAATGGGCAACTCTGCTATTCAGAATTGAGTCTGTTTCTTCTGTTTAGGAAGAAATGTTTATTTTGGAGTGCTTAAAGGAGGCTGTATGTTATTTTCATGTTTTGAAGAAAAAGATTGCCAGCTACTGAAAGGAATTTGACTTGTAAATTGATACATGGTTCCCTATGCCCTACCCTGAAAGCATTAGTTTATAATACTGGATTGATCAGTATTCAGTTCTAAGTCTATGACAGATTGGAGGTGAGCTTCTGCCTAGAGGGGAAAGTCACTTCCA